GAAAAAAGAAAGAGGACCTCCCAGTACACCCTGATGTCTTCCCCTACCCTGGGGAGGCCAAGGCCCTTGGAAGACGCTCAGTGGCCTCCTCTCCACAATGCAGCCTCTCTCAGTCCCTGCTGCATTCTTCCTTCTTCTTTCCCTTTCTGGCCTATGTAAAGGGCCAGGCGGTAAGAGACACACAAACTAATTAAGAAGCAGAGTTTGGCCAGATGCCTGGGCCGGCCTCCCCAGGGAATTAAGCCCAAGCCAGCTAGCTGTGTAGAGCCAGGAGGATGTCACCTCCCAGATACACCCAGGACACCCCTCCCTCTTGCCAGGCTCAGGGAGACAGGCCAGGCATCCCCAGAAGGAAGCATTTAGCATCTGCACTTGAGGCTGGCAGCTGAGGGACAATGCCTCTGCCCCCACCCCCTCAACAGAATAGGTCAAACCCTCTCCCCATCTAAAGGTGAATAATTAGGTCCTCAACCCTAGAGAAAGAAGGAAAGAGAATCTTCCTCACTCCAGCTACACATCATTTAAAAAGTGACCTATACAGACCACCCTGCAGTCAGAAGGTAAAGTAAGGGCCACCGGGCCCCAAAGACTTTTTGTGCTGTGGGTCAGGGCATTGCTGGCTGCCAGAACTCAGAGGGAAAGTCCCTGAGAGGGATGAGCCCTCGTGATCCTGAACGGATGATGCCCACTCCCGGGATCTTTCTCCAGGAAAACCCACGAGAGAGAAGGAAGAAGGGGTAACCAGAGTTCCCTTGGCGCCCGAGAGTGTGGGTGCGGACGCGGGAGCAAAGCTGCGTGGCAGGAGGCAGAGTTTCGACACGTAATCTGATGGGTGCGTGCAGTGTTTGCTTTTCTGGGGACTGTGGCTGAATGTGTGCGCGCAGGCAGAAGGAAGGTGGGACTGGGGTTTTGTAGCTGGGAGCCGGGGACAGGAAGAACTAACTGGCTCAGGAGAGGTCCGAGAAGGGATTTTGGGGTCTTGGGAGCCGGATCTAGGGGATGCCTGCATCCGCTTGGGCTGTCAAGAAGCGAAGCAGCGAAGCCCAGCGAGAGCCGAGAAGGTGAGCCAGCCGCCGGGCCGCGGTACTGACAGCCAGCTCGCTCGCCAGCCGGGCGCAACTCCGCATCGTGCATCGCTCGGCTTCCACTCCGGAGGCCGAGCCAGGGTGGGATGAGGTTTCGGTGCAAGTCGTTTTCCCAGCCCCCGGTGTGCGGTCTGTCAGGGTCTCCCGAGCCAACTGGGTGCTCTCAAGGGTTCCGATTCACTCCCGCCCCTGGCAGGGTTTGGGAAAGTGGGTACTACCTCCCCCTGGCATCCCTGGCTTCACGCCAGACCCTACAACCTGTCTCCGTGCTCTGAAGCAGCTAGCTCGATCTCCTCGCTCTCTGGAAAAGGGCGGGGACCCGGGCATCCACTCCAGAGTCCGAGCCGGGGTACCCACCAAACCCGGGCAGCGCGCACTTTGCGCCTTTTGCAAAGTTTCCGCGCGGTGCTAAGCCGGCATGGAGCGGGACGCGGGCTCTTACCGTAGACTCCTTGTCCCTGGCAGTGTAAGGGGATCAGCGCCAGAAGTAGAAGGCAGGTCACCTCCATCTTCACGGCCCGTGCTTCATCCCCGCGAGGCGGCGCAGCCCGAGAGGCGGTGGGGGGCGCCTCCGCCGGGGCCCTGCGATGCCCCCTGCGTCTTCCCCTTCCCCGAGAGGCGACGGAGGGGGCGGCGGCGACGGAAATCAGGAGGCTGAGGAGTCGGCGGTGGCGGCGGCAGCGACCTGGGTTTCTCCTCCGGCGGGGCTGCTGCCCGCGTGGGAACGCAGGGGGCGCTGGCCCGGTCCCGGGTGCCTCGGCGCGCCCGGCGCAGCAGCCAGCGCCCCGGCCCGAGAAGTGCGGCCGCCGAGCCTCTCCGGGTTCCCAGGGATGTCCGCTTGGGGTTCTGGGCGCCAGGGACCCCTTTGCGGGGGCGGAGGTGCTTCGATCCAACAGGCCACCGACGACTGACAAACTTGTCGTTTCCCCGCCCAGGGGACGCCCCTCCGCGGAGCTGGGGCGGGGAGGCCGGGGCTCCGCTGGGGTTAATCCGCTGTCTCCAGTTCTGCGGCCGGTGCTGGGGGCTCAATGGCCCGACCCAAGGGAGCCGGGCTGGGCGTCCTCTCGGAGGCGAAAAGCCCCGGCTCTGGCCCTCCTGAGCAGGGGAGAAGCGCGGGCTAGGCTCCGCGGAGGGGCCAGAGTCACGGGTCCACGGGTCCGCGAAGTTAGCCGAGCCACCGAGGAACCCCGGGGAGGAATCGCGCCCCAGCGCCCCGCGGGAATCAGGAGAGCAATTCCATCCAAGAGAGACCCCAGAACGCGGGGAAAGAAGGAAAGTTTGAGTCGTTTGAAAAATATTCGCGCTCTCGCCAAGGCCTGGGCTGCGGCGCGGGAGTCGCTCGCCGCCTCTGCTCGCCTCGCTCAGCTCCCGCCGTCTGGCCGTGGCGGTGGCGGTCCCGGGCTCGGCGCTCTCGGGAGAGCCGGGATGCGCCGCGACCCAAGTTGGTCGTCCCCGCCCCCGCCCCCGCCCGGCGGCCTCCGCCGGCGGGGGCCCAGAGCAGGCGGGGCTGGGCCGGGCTGCCGGGCGCGGCTGCAGCTGGGCTCCGGGCCGCGAGAGCGCTCCGCTCGCTCGGCAACTTGGGCTTCGCTGTGCTGCTTTTTCCCCCCTCCGAGCTTTTCATTCCGCGCTCCCCCCGCCTCCCCCTCTCCTCCCTCCTCCTCGCGTCTCCTCGTTCGGTCTCTCGCTCTCCCACCCTTTGTCGCTCGCTCTCCTGTTTGATTCCCCTCCAGTTAAAAAAAAGGAGCCAATTAAAGGCAGCGCAGCTCGCCGGGTCCAGCCTCTGTCCAATTTCCTCGCCTCCCCCAGGACCAATTAGAGAAAACAAAACAGGGCTGGGGGAAGCAGACTGCCTTTCTCTCTCTCTCCCCCCCC